GATTAGCTCGTGCACAGGGGAGACAGAGTAACCAAAATCTTGGGTGTATTTCTCTACAGACGGAACATTGGGGGTCCCTGTGGAGGGTCCACCTTCCTGACTTTTCATGCCTCTGTGATGACCCTTAGAGAAACACACTGTTCTCGTGCTGCTTTTACAGAGAGAAACCAGAGACTCACACTGGTGTTGTCACTTAATCAGACCCATGTGAAACAGTGAGACTAGTCTCTCTCATCTGCACACTTGTACACACACATACACACACACAATGATTATTAGACACATGGATTACTGTCTAGCTGGTTTTTACTGAACATTATGTCTCTGAGATACATCCAACTTGACATGTCTGGTCACCAGCCAGGGCTCAGCCCCAAGAACCACATCTAGGCAGCAGCAGAGCCTGACCCTTGACCTGAGACTCAGCATGGAAAGTATGGATGGAAAAGGCCCCCAGGCTATTAGCCTACTGGCATGGGGGACTTAGGAGAGTACAGGAGAATGTCAGTGCCCCCAGGGCAGGAACAGAGGAAAGAAGATCCTGCTGGCAGCTCCTCATCCACCAGGATTCAGGCCCAGGGGTGTTCTCTTGGAATCAAACCATAACACATGCCATTTGGGCAGCTCCTCTCTTCCAAGATTTAAGTCAGGGACTATGAATATTTTAAAGTTAATTCACTCACAACCTGGCAGCCATATATTTATCCTACTTCGTTGATGGAAAACTGAGGCACAGGGAAGTGCACTCAATGAACCAGGGTCACAGAGACCATGAGCAGCAGATAAGACACATGTGGTCTGCCTGCAGCCACAACGCCACGCTCTCCTTCACCTGGGGGCCTTATTAGGTGTCTGTAGACCCCAAGCCCAGCTGTCAGTTCAGATCATTTCTTCTTATGTTTCCCCAACTCAGAGGGAGAGATTCTGGTCTGGGGAGTAACAGCAAGTGGAGAATTCATGCGAGCTTACTCTAGACTAAATTACCTGCGTCAACAGTCAGTCAGCGCAGGGAATGTCCAGTCCTCCCCCTCAGGTGGCTGATCCAATCTCACTGCACTGAAGTTGAAATCATTTATTTGTCTCCTGATGTGTTGGGGTCACTTGCACTGGAATGTATAGGAAAGGACTTTGCCATCTCACTCCCAACTCTACACCTGCAGCCAGCACAGGGCCCACGTGTAATGAACACTCAATTGCTTTCGAAGAATGGGAAGGAATGAATAAATAATCCAAATTCTCTTGAGAGACTGGAACTGGATGCAGAGTCCTGGGAATTCTGGGCACCCTGGATAGGTTCTTGACTGTCCAGGGACTCAGGCCTATGTCTCAGGTCTTTTACTGCTCTCTAGGGAAATATTGCTTCCTATAATTGGTCTGAGACCCCGGGGTATTAATCATAATTTTCCCGTATGGAAGAATTTTAACTTCTCAAATTTCTTTCAAATAACCACCAGACACAGTTGGTCCATGGGGGCCAGATTTGCAGCAAGTTCAGTCTCCCCCGTTTCCATCACTCACCCCTTCTGCATTTGCACATGTCCAGTCCTGCCCGCAGCGGAGACAGAAGAGACATTAAAGACCAAGGGCAGAGATCAGGTTCTGCTGCCAAAGCCAGGCAGCTCCTGCCTGTCCTCTCACTCTTTTCCGGATCATTCTTTGAACTCCCTTTATCGTTTATTGAGTCACTGGCTCGTGTCAGTTACAGTCACCTGGGAGGATGTGATCCACATCTTTGCCCTGAGGCCTGAGTGCTCACCTGACTGCCGCACTTGTTCCTGGTGTTCGTGTGTTATTTGTGCTCAAACCACAGACCTACCTTACCCATCTGTAGGAGAATCTTGCAAATGGTGCTTCAGAGAAAACACACCTCACTGGGTGATGGAGGTGTGCGCAGTGGGAAGGAGTCAGCCCTGGTTGGCCAGGCAGTCAGCTGGTCAGTGAAGAACCAGAAGAGGCATGGAGGGTGGGATTAGGGGGCCAGTGGCCTCTGATTCTCCTCCTCTGTCTTTTCTTTTTTTTTTTCATTTTTTTATTGTTATTGATAGATTACAATCTTGTGAAATTTCAGTTGTACATTAATGTTTGTCATTCGTGTTATAGGTGCACCACTTCACCCTTTGTGCCCACCCCCCACCCCACCTTTCCCCTGGTATCCACTAAAGTGTTCTTAGTCCACATTTTTAAATTCCTCATCACAGATTATCCTTCTCTAGCTGGCTTATTTCACTTAACATAATTCCCTCAAGGTCCATCCATGTCATTGCAAATGGAATGATTTTGTTCTGTTTTGCAGCTGAGTAGTATTCCATTGTATATATGTACCACATCTTCTTTATCCATTTGTCTGTTGATGGGCACTTAGGTTGCTTCCATGTCTTGGCTATTGTAAATAATGCTGCAATGAACATTGGGGTGCATAGGACTTTTGGTATTACTGACTTCAAGCTCTTTGGATAAACACCCAGTAGTGGGATAGCTGGATCATATGGTAGTTCTATTTTTAATTTTTTTGAGGAATCTCCATACTGTTTTCCATAGTGGCTGCACCAGTTTGCATTCCCACCAGCAGTGCATGAGGGTTCCTTTTTCTCCACAACCTCTCCAACATTTGTTACTATTAGTTTTAGATATTTTTGTCATTCTAACGGGTGTAAGGTGATATCTTAGTGTAGTTTTGATTTGCATTTCCCTGATGATCAGCGATGATGAGCATCTTTTCATGTGCCTATTGGCCATCAGTATATCTTCTTTGGAGAAATGTCTGTTCATGTCTCCAGCCCATTTTTTCATTGGGTTGTTTGATTTTTTGTTGTTGAGTTGTGAGCCTCCTCTGTCTTTTCAAAACCAGAATCTGCTAACATATTGAGACTTGAGAAATTCTGTGCTTTCTCCCAGACGTAGAGCAGGTGGCCTTACCTTCTCTGAGAGCTCAGATCCTCAGGCATCTGTCTTGAGATTCACAAACACGCCCTGTTCTTTTAAGGACTTGGGTTGGCTGAGAGGTGAAAGATGCCAACTCTGAATTGCCCACTTTTCAATCAGGTTAGTTTTGTTGTTGTGTTTAGGTGTTCTTTGTATATTCTGGATATCGATCCCTTATTAATATATAATTTGCAAATTATTTTCTCCCATTCCACAGGTCACCGTTCACTCTGTTGATTGCGTTCTTTAATGAACTGAATTTTTTCCTTTTGATGAAGTCCAGTTTATCTATTTTTTCCTTGTGTTCTTAGCGTTATATTCAAGAAATCACTGCCAAATCCAATGTCATGAAGCTTTCTCCCTATATTTTCTTCTAAGAGTTTTATAGTTTTAGGTTTTACTTTAGGATTTGATCCATTTTGAGTTAATTTTTGTATATGGTGGAAGACAATGGTCCAACCTCATTCTTCTGCATGTGGATATCCAGGTTTCCAACACTTTTGTTGAAAAGACTGTCCTTTCTCTGCTGAATGGTCTTGACTCCCTTGTCAAAATCATCTCATCACATAATTGAGGCTTTATTTCTGGATCCCTATTGCATTCCATGGTCTATATGTCTGCCTTTGTGCCAGTGTCACACTATTTTGATTCTTTAGCTCTGTGGTAAGTTTTGAAATCAGGAAGTGTGAGTCCTCCGTTTTTGTTCTCCTTTTTAAAGATTGTTTTAACTATTTGGGGTCCTTAGAATTTGAGGTTGGACTTTTCTATTTCCGCAAAAATTTCATTTTGATTTTGATAAGGATTATATGAAATATGTAAGTAGTTCGTTGTATATTGACATCTTAACAATATTAATTTTTCCAAATCATGAACATAGATGTCTCTCCATTTATTTGTGTCTTCTTTAATTTCTTTCAGAATATTTGGTAGTTTTCAGAGTACACATCTTTGACCTCCTTGGTTAAGGTTATTTGTAAGTATTTTATACCTTTTGATGCTATTGTAAATGGAATTTTTTTCTTAATTTCTTTTTTGGATTGTTCATTGTTATTGTATATAAATGTTACTGATTTTGAGTGTTGATTTTGTTTCCTGCAATTTTACTGAATTTGTTTGTTAGTTCTAACATTTTTTTGGGTATGGAATCTTTAGGATTTTCTACTTATAAGATTATGTCTTCTGCTAAAAGAGACCATTTTTCTTCTTTCTTTCCGATTTGGATGACTTTTGTTTCTCCTTGCCTAATTGTTCTGGCTAGGACTCCTGTACTTTTGAACAGAAGTGGTGTAAATAGCATCCTTGTCTTGTTTATGATCTTAAAGGAAAGTTTTCTGTGTTTCCCTTTGAGTATGATGTTAGCTGTAGGTTTTTCATTTGTGCCCTTTGTCCTTTGTAGTTTCCTTCTGTTCCTAACAGTGCCTGTCTTTTGTTAAAACCCTAACCACTTCTCTCTAGAGATTTCCTTCACTGTGATATTCAATCCACAGGCCAGGAAGTAAAAATCCTCTTCAGAGTGAGAAATTCTTTAGATTAGAAGTTCACCAGGTCCTAAGGTTGTGAAGCCTGGTGAGGTCATCCTCATTCCCTAATAAGTTATTTAACAAGAAGTAAATGTGTACTCACTTTATGTAATGTTCCCTTGGCCCCAGAGATGGGCAGAGCTGGCAAGCCTGCTTTCTTCAACACACCCAGAAGTGTATATAGGGAATGTGGCGTGATATTTTCTGAAGTCAAGGAAAGTTCTAGGAAGAAAATCAACGACAGTTCATGAGAAAAAAATTCCACCTGATGATGAGGTCATATGACATATGGGATGACAAAAGGTTCCTGGTGCTGATATTACAGAGATGTCCTGGGGGACTGATAGGAGGTTATCCTGGGATGATATAGGGGTGAAAGGGGGAGGTGGTGCCCTGTCCTTACAGATCACCACCAGAACAAAGGCACTCATCCTTCTGCAGGGGTCAGGGCCATCCTCTGTGTCATCTTTACAGAGTGCCTTGAAATTTCTGAAGAAGGAACATGGCCCCAGAACCCAGGCCCACTCTTAATAATTCACCTCCTCTGTTTTTCCACAGACCCAGTGGCAATGCCCTCCATCTGAGTCACTATAATACATAAGGACCCCAGTCACCGAACATCAGGACCCTGTGGTCCTGACCTGCCTCACACATGACACGGGGATCTCCACCCAGTGATTCTTCAATGACCAGGTTCTATGGCTCATGGAGAGGATGAAGCTGTCCCAGGACAACAGCAACCTCACCATAGACCCCATCAGGAGGAAGGATGCTGGTGTGATTATCACTGAGAGGCCTCCAACTGGATCAGTTCCAGCAGAAGTGACATCCTCAAGCTTGATGTAAAATATGAGTCTTGGCCTCTGGTTCTCTTCTCTTCCTCTATGTTAAACTTTGAAGATATTTTTTTTCTTATCTGTAAAATGATGAATCACTTTTCAAGTACAGTTGTAATAGTCAATGATGAAGGTGTAAATTCTATAGAAGACTTGCATTAGGTCAATAAATGCTCAACAATGTGAGCTGACTTTGTCATTATTGTTGGCTTAAGGTCACATTCCACTCCAGATACCACCTCTTGTTGGTCACAGTTGCACCATCTCCACTGTGGAAGGATGGGCAGTGGTTGTGCGATGAGGGGTGGGAGCCCATGATAAGCTCTCAGGAATCACAGCTCTACCCCTCCTCCAGGGGGAGGCATGGACTGCACTTCAGCTGTGACCCAGACAAGGGGAATAGACAGGAGGACATCCATGTGTGTAGTAACACCGATCTTTTTCTTCCCATCTGATTCCTCTCAAAGAATTCCTAACATCTTCCTGAGTATTCTTATTTTCACGGCAATAGAGTTATTTGTGTAGGTACAGTACGACTCAGTCCTCCTTATTACTAGGATATCATTGGAAACCTTGCTGGTTTCTGAATCAAATGCCCTAGTTGAGAATGATGCCCCTGGGATGAGATATGACCCACACTTTAAGGAGCTAAGGTTGACTTGATGGGTATTTTGGGGATCTCGAGAAGAGAAGACGTCACTCAAAGCTGTAGAGACTAGCAGGTGAGTCCTGATGTCTAGGCTTCCTAATGTGAAGAGGCTGTTAAAAGTCCCATCCGAGGTTCCTTAGGAAACCCTGCATCAGAGGAATGTGTGGTGAGTGTGCAATCCTGCTGCAGCTGTGTAAATAATCAGGCCAAATCCAGTGAGAGCAGCCTTATTTTAGGATCAAGAACAGTCTTCCTCAGAGATGATCTTTGTTCAAAAGGAGAAGTGACTGTTGGAGAAATGTATTTCCACGGAAAAGTCCAGCAAGCACAACCTTCTGAAGATCAGATCCTGCCCTGTTCATTGTCTCTCTGCTGTTTTGCACCTCTGTATAAATTGCAGGGAACTGATGGAGATGCAGACTGAGTCTTGGCTGATAGAGATGGAATTGTGTTTCCCTCCCTCTGTGCAGAAAGCAGTTTTGTCATGATCTAGAGGCCTGATGTTCCCTCAGACCCACTAAACTTTAGACCTTCTTGAGGGTAGGCCCTTGGCTTCCATTTTCTTAGAGCATTTCCCTTAGAAATGTAATTGAAATCTGTAGTTGCAGATTCTTTCTCTGCCCTTTTGAAATGTACATAAATCTCCTTAAAATTTTCCTGCCAGTTTTAGGATCCAGGGAATGTCTTTCTCAAGGGTCTGTGCCTATCTCTTTGAAATGTAATCCTCCTGGAAGACCTTTCCCCAACCTCTCAGTCTTTGAGCAGGGGCAGGCAACTAACCTGGGTGCGTCCCTTTACAACCAGGGTGTAAAACTACCTCTTGTCAGAATTTTAGGAGAAGGTTTACTTTTATTTTGAGTGAGGCTGATTAGCAAACACAAGTGGCCTACAATTCCCTATGCCCACTCTTGAAATCTCTCCAGCCTTTTGTTTTAGGGGTTGAGTTCAGTCTCTCCTCTATTGCACTGGTCTTGAATAAAGTCTTTCTGACTCTTTAACTTTGGTGCAATTTTTATTTTGACCTTACCTGCCTGTAATTAGCTGATCTTGTCATCTTGCACACACTGTCAATCCTCACCATATTTTCAAATCCTCTTATTTCTTTTCTTACCTGGCTATTATCCTCCAAACGAACATTTCAGTTTTCCTCCTGCCCTTCTGACTTGGCCTCCACAGCAGGAGATGACCTGACAGCTCAGATCTTTCTGGGGTCTCTAGTTGCCGCCTACTGAGTCTTTGTCCCCAGGATCTGAGAAGCTCTGTGAGCTAAAATCCAAGGACTTGAGAGAGACATGGAGGTTACCCCAATGCAGCAGCCCTGAACCCGACAGTGTCCTCATTTCACACACATTTTCACCTCACCTTCAAGGGACAGGATCATACAGATTTTTAAATATATTTTTTCATAAAATCCGACAACTGTGGTGGACAAGCAGGTCCTTGCTATGTCAGCCACCCCCACGTCCACACAGGACCACTCTGTCCAATTTACACCCCAGCCTTGGGCTCAGGTCAGACATCTTTGTCTTCATTTCTTTTTTTGTCAATTATTTTTACAAACTCCATGTGCCTATTCTAAGGAGAGTCCACAAACAGAACCTGGGAAATGGTAAATAGAATCTGTACTCTGGTCCTGTATCCTTTCCTTCTCCTTTTGGCCTCTGGGGTATTTGGCTGAATCCTTGGGGACCCAGCAGTGAGATGGAGAGTAGGTAAGCAGAGGTGGGCATTGAGGGGTAGCTGGGAGGGGTGAGACCTGCATAGAGTTTGATGAGAAATAGTAAAGCCTGGGTGGGGCTTAGGGGTGTTGGGTATGAATTAAGATTAAAAGGATCTAGTGGGGCCATGCAGAAGGGCTCTTTTTGGGGAGCTCCAGGATGGGGTAAGAATTCTGAGTGGAGGGCAGACCTACAGGTTGAGGGAGGAGCAACTGAAGCTAGTGCAGTGAAGTTGGGGGTGTCATCCTTCTAGACATTGATCTTCATGAGCAATGAGACATAGAGTTAGAGGAAGAGGGTAAGATTCTTGAGGACTTTGATTTGTGCCCTGACACTGGGAACAAGAAGGAGTTCCACATGTACAGGCTGAAAGGGATACAGGACAGCGGACAAGCAGGAGAGGGAGATGAGCATCCAATGGAGTCTAGGAGTTTGGAGAATGATGAAGTTATGGATGACAGTGGACATCATGAATGCGAAAGAGTTGAGCTGAGGGCATTTGGGAAATAAAGTCAGGAAGTGAGTTTGGGCATGGGGTAGTCAGACTAGAAAAAGGATCTGGGATGAAGCCTGGGGGAAGGCAGGGCAGGAGTGGCAGTGAGGACCAAATTGAGGGCCAGACTTTTCTAGTCTACAGTTCTGATCAGTTGAGACATGTGCAGGTTGCTCGAAAAGCCTGGGAGCACTGTGGAAAAGCCAGATCTCATCCTTGTCCCCTGAGACCTACTTCAGCTGAGTCAGCAAGTGAACCATGTCCCCAGGGGATTTGAGTGTGAGTGAGTGAGCCTGAAAAGGAGCCTAAGGACAGGCAAGGGAGGGCAGATGTGAGAGTAGAGATGGGGGGCAGAATGAAGTTGGAGCGTGTGGAGCCTTTCCTTCTTCGTTGCCTAGTCAGAGTGAACTTCCTATGAGTCCACAGGTGAGAGCTGTGTGACAGGTGTCAGTGAGGAGTGGTAGGTGCCATGATCATAAGGGCACCTGTCCTTCTCTAATCCAGGACATACCACTTCCATTTGTGGTGCATCTGCTTTCTGCACCTGACCTTATGTTGGTGGGTGTGATAGAACCCAGGTCATGATGAGGAGTTCTGGCAGCCTGGTCACATTACATCCCATATTCAGACAGTGTAACTCCCCTGAGACCTAGGAGGAGGTCAGGAGCTGTTTTTCTATTGCTACAGAAGGCATGGCTTTGCTCAGAACCCTAGGAGTCTGTATGGAATTTCTTATTAGGTCCTGCCAGAGGCTCCACAAAGCAGTTTTCATTCTTTTAACATGGGTTGGATGGAGGTACATGTGCAGGAACTTATCCTTTCCTCTGGAAGCATGCCCAACATGCCCCAGAGTATTGGAGCCTTAAAAGATTCATAGTTGTAGCAGATCATTGAATGGTCAGAGGTGTGGATGGCCCTACAGCCCACGGAACTCTCACACTTTGCTTAAATTGTTGATTACTAGAGTTGACCCTGTCTCTGATGTCATTGTCAACACTGATATAATTGTCTTTGGTCATCAATATCAGCAGGCATCCGCTTCTACCCTTTGGAGCATTATCTGTCTTAATAAGGCATTCAGTTAATTTGCCGTTTCTTGTTCATCATTAGAAGGAAAGCTTCTAGTTCTCACCATTAAGTATGATATCAGTTGTAGGTCTGAAGGCTTTTTATGACTTGAGTTGACATGGAATTTACTTGGAGGATGAACGCATCCATTTGCTTTGCTAGGCAGCCTTGGCATTGTGGGCTCACAATGTGTACCATCATTTAGAAGACCTTGTACTAGGTTTAATGCTCTGCTTTTGCCATCTTGAAATTCTTCATGGTTTTTGAACAAGGAGCCCTGAGTTTCACTTTACACTGAGTCCTGCAATTTATGTAGCTGGTTCTGCCCCTGGGAGTGACCATGAGTGCATGAGCTCCCTTGGGAAAAAAAGTTTGACCCTTTGGGAGGTGCACTTTGAAATTTGGCCACCAGAGGGTGGCACCCCCACGGGGTAACCTGGAGGGCTGTGAAGGCAGACGTAGAGGAGTTTGGCTTTTTCTACTCTATTTGTGTCATTATGTGTCTCTAACTGCCCCCTGCCACCTCCCACCTCTGTAGCTCATGAAGGAAATGTTTTCCAGGCCTGATGCACTTCAGAGATTCAAATTTTGGTCTCCACATCCAAGGGGGAAAAGAAGAAATCACAGCTAGTTGTCTCAAATGTGAATAGTATTAAATAGACATCATAACATCCACACTGAATGTTGGTCTTAGGAAAAAATAGGAGAGGTAGGGATGGAACAGTGATGTGTTGTGATGATGAGGAAGAAAGGAGCTGAGTCCTCATCTCCCAAGGAGGATGACCTTAGATAATGCCCGAAAGTGAAAATCAGTAAGTAGCCTCAGAGCATGTTATTCAGAGATGACTTTGGTTCCATCCAGAGGAGCTGCTGCTGTTTGGGGCAGATCTCCTCAGTGTGGCCCAGACAGGAGAAGCCAGGACCTTCCTGTGATCACTCTGAACAGAACACACAGAGACAGTGGGCTTATCATGGCCAAGTCCAGTGTTGGCATAAATCCAAGAAAGAGAACATCCAACAGGAGGGAGCCAGGACTAGTTTTGCTCACAGTGTGAATATCAGGAACTGAATAGCAATTTAATTGTTCTGGCTGCAATGCCCTACATGAAAAGTTTAAATCTTGGGGTTGTAGGTCATTCACATCAAAACAATATGCTTTTCTGGGAAATCCTTGTACACCTGATTAAGATCCTTCCTAGAAGCTGAAACGACTTAGGTCTTTGTCCACATAACATATGATGAGGACTGACATATTCTC